TAAAAATTCACCTACCACGATACCTAATACATGTAATTCTGAACCCTCATAGCCTTTTATGTGCTTTAATCAGCTTGTAACTAAAGAATTGATTCAGAGCACAGCTGTGCTTTTGTACCAGATTGAAACAGAATGCTTGTGCACTGTACAAGTCTTGTCTTTTGCATGATTTATTTGATTAGATGAAGACTTCAATATGATTAATAAGAATTTCAATGTTATTAGAGAGCTGAAGAGTATTCTGCTTTGCAGGATTTCAGCAGCTGTTAGATGACCTTGATGACCTTTGTCTGGATACCCCAGATGCTCCTGAGGTGATATGCCTTGTTGCTGTAATCTTGTATGCAGATATTTCTAGAGTTACACATTCATGTATGGCAACAACAAACAAACCATTTGTGTGTGTTACATAATAGCCATCAAATATTGATTTTATTCAACTGCATTGTTCAGATATTATAAGTCCCTTTCCTTTTAAAAACTGAATGCATTCAAATTAAACTCAGATGCCATGTTTAGTGACATAAAATACTTTTTGACCAGTAGATCAGAAAGAAAACATGTGAAAAGCCTAAAATGAATGTATACAAAATAATATCTTTATCAACCACTGACCCCCAATGGGGCTTTTTAGGGCTAATGCAAGCACACTGAAATGTGGCTTTGGTACTTCATAGGATATGCAGGCTTATGGTTTAACACTAAAAGTGATCTGTTTGTTTTGACATCCAATGCTGAATATAGATGGTGGGAAAATTCATTGCCCGTGCCATTGCTGATGATTGTTTGCCACCAGCATTTGTCACCAATCTAGGAGACACTCCTTCAGGTTCTAATCAAGGGTAAGTAATCTGAAGACATCTTATATAATAGTCTAATGATTGCATGCGGCCCTGTCATGTGATATTGTCAATCATATTTAAGTAGTTGCAGGTAATACAGACCAGGTGCCAGGAATTGAAAGAGCATGAAAACATTAATAAAGGGTGCTAATTTTAAGACCATTCTTGTAAAAGTGTGATGTTTTCTACAGCTTGAAATTTGAAAAAAAAAA